ACTTCAGGTCACTTACCACTGCTTCCATTGGAAGAAAGGGACACCATTTGCTGAAGACCAAGGGATCTACAACAGATTGACATGGTGGGAGCAGATTGATAACGGAAAGCAGCTTACCCGCAACCGAAAATTCTTGACTGTTGTTCCTGTGGTGCTGTAAGTTATCTATTATATTACGAAACCTAAGTACTAAATAATTCTGAATCAAATTTTAGACTGCTTTTATTTGAGTTGTTTTTTGTTGTTTTATTTTCCTGAACTCATGAATTTGAGTGAGAGTTTTAAGGATGTCTTACTCATACTTTACGTGTTTTTGACAGCCAATGTTTTCTATGTTCTCTTCTATATTGTTGTGTGATATTTCTCTGATATGTATAAATCATCTTCATAGTTCTTCTGATGATTGATTGGAGAGTTCTGTTGACTCAATGACCTCTTTTTTCTAACTCAAAATCTCCAGGCTTGTGATTCTAGGGATTATTACCTAAACTTACAAATTTTTTAGTTGGCGAACTTGAGAGCTATGGCGGTAGACACTGATCTTAAGAGCCTCTAAATGATAAGATGATGGTTGTTGCTGCAAAATTTTGAATACGATGACATTGGCAAATCGTCGTATTTTCCTAGTGGCGGTGGAAAACCAAACTAGGCCAACAAAGCTGAACCGAACGAAATGGGCTGTGTTTTTTGTGTTTTGTTTTGTTGGGCATTTTAACAGTTCTTCTCATGAACTTGGCCTTCGTCGGATTTTTGCTTACTAATTTCATTTTTTGTCCCAGATCCAATCCATAAGTACGGATCCAGGGCCTTATAAATGTGTACCCTAGAACTTGAACATCAAACTTGTTGGAGTTTAATCAGTCTTAGCTACAGCATAAATTCGAAGTCTTACAAGTGGTAACTGGAAAGAACTATTGAACATGAACTTAGGGACAGACTGAGAGGATTGAGAGATGACAATTGAATTGTGATCAAGGGAAAAGATGAGGGATGATAAGGATAGTGCTTGGGTTGTACTACTTCGCTTATGAGTTTCATGGCGATCAATGTATGTATCTCATTATCCTAACTTGACACGATGTTCAACTTGCTACCATATGTAAGGCACCCTGAAAAGCCTGAGAGTATTGGGAGGGAGAGTTGCATCGTACCGTGGGTGGGCTCTATGAGGGAGAGTTTCTCGACTTCTAATTAGAAATGAAAAAAAAACGTCGGGCACCATGGGTGGACTCTAGACTCTCTGCTTAGAGTAGTGTTCTCGAGACATTTATAGATCTCTAGTTCCAAAGACCTCTAAAGTTTAGAATTGTTGGAATCAGGAGAGATATATCTGAATTTTCAATTTTTCTGGAACACGTTTGGATCGAAAGATGTACGAGTGGAATATTCGAGGTTTCTTTCATAACCAATAGGAGGATAAATTGGTGTGCATCTAGACTTGTCTAATGCTACATCTCACAACAGAAACATTCTTAATAGTTCTTTTGAATTCTTGCTCTTGAGGACATTGGTTGTACAGACATTATCCAAAGAAGGAAATGTCATTACTGTACTTTACGTAATTGTCGTTGTCTGTATTAGAGACTCGGAATCTCGAGATCTACTTTTCTTGCATGTTTCTTGACTTAAATCCTTACTGGGGTTCCTTTTGGACACATTTTCATTGCTCATTGGTGTGCCCCTCTTTCAGCTCTTTCAGGATTAGCTCAGTTCTTATTGTTTAATACTGGTTCTATTTGAGTAACTCTATTATCTTTGAGTTTTCATTTTCGCTTCAGATTCATGGTTGCTCTTTTATACTGGTTTGACATTGCTAAAGCCGTACGCATATATGTTCTTTTTTTATAAGAGTCTATGATCTATGATGCTTACAAACGACCTTCCCAATTTACCACGAGAGAGGTATGGCTATAGGAAGCAAAAATATTAGATAATTTACTGGTAAACAACATTGTACCTAGGATGAGTCTGTGTTTTCTTCGTGAGTACTCTTTTGACCATAATGAGGATTGTCCGTGGCCAAACTTTTGCATTCTTTAAAGAGTGGTACGTTAAGACTATATCCAATAACTCCTTTACCTCTCTACAAAACCAATTGCCTATACGGCGGATAAATATGTCCATTGATCCACTCATAGGAGAGAGAGATCACCGGGGTCTTCGAGGCCATTCTTACAAAGACCATGTCAACTAGACTAAGATCATCAGGGTCTTTGAGGCCATTCGTACAAAGACCAACTAGACTAAGATCATCAGGGTCTTCGAGGCCATACGTATAAAGACCAACTAGACTAAGATCATGAGGGTCTTTGAGTTGATTTGTACAAAGACCATGTCAACTAGACTAAGATCATGAGGGTCTTTGAGTTCATTCGTACAAGGACCATGTCAACTAGACTAAGATCATGAGGGTCTTTGAGTTGATTCGTACAAGGACCATGTCAACTAGACTAAGATCATGAGGGTCTTTGAGTTGATTCGTACAAGGACCATGTCAACTAGACTAAGATCATGAGGGTCTTTGAGTTGATTCGTACAAGGACCATGTCAACTAGACTAAGATCATGAGGGTCTTTGAGTTGATTCGTACAAGGACCATGTCAACTAGACTAAGATCATGAGGGTCTTTGAGTTGATTCGTACAAGGACCATGTCAACTAGACTAAGATCATGAGGGTCTTTGAGTTGATTCGTACAAGGACCATGTCAACTAGACTAAGATCATGAGGGTCTTTGAGTTGATTCGTACAAGGACCATGTCAACTAGACTAAGATCATGAGGGTCTTTGAGTTGATTCGTACAAGGACCATGTCAACTAGACTAAGATCATGAGGGTCTTTGAGTTGATTCGTACAAGGACCATGTCAACTAGACTAAGATCATGAGGGTCTTTGAGTTGATTCGTGCAAGGACCATGTCAACTAGACTAAGATCATGAGGATCTTTGAGTTCATTCGTACAAGGACCATGTCAACTAGACTAAGATCATGAGGGTCTTTGAGTTCATTCGTACAAGGACCATGTCAACTAGACTAAGATCATGAGGGTCTTTGAGTTCATTCGTACAAGGACCATGTCAACTAGACTAAGATCATGAGGGTCTTTGAGTTGATTCGTACAAGGACCATGTCAACTAGACTAAGATCATGAGGGTCTTTGAGTTCATTCGTACAAGGACCATGTCAACTAGACTAAGATCATGAGGGTCTTTGAGTTGATTCGTACAAAGACCATGTCAACTAGACTAAGATCATGAGGGTCTTTGAGTTCATTCGTACAAAAACCATGTCAACTAGACTAAGATCATCGGGTCTTCGAGGTCATTCGTACGAAGACCATGTCAACTAGACTAAGGGAAGGCATAGGGTCCTCCATGTTAATACCACCCGAACTCAGCGACCCTATAACAAGTTTGCACCTTTTAGAGATTGAGATTTTCCGAAGGTTCTTGCTATATTGAACTTCTTATTGTCTTCGCTCCTTTCCCGGCAAACAAATTACATAGGTAAGAGGAAGGACAACTAAGAGTTGATAACTATTGCATATTCTTGTAACGTAACAACTTATTTATCGTTAAAAGAGAAGAAATGTATGAAATCCGGAACCTTTGGCTCTACTCTATTATCCGACCTTCCCTTGTGATTTGAAATGAACAAAAAGAAAACTTCATTAACTTGTTCTTCTTATTGTACAGGTACTTGATAGCCTCACACACAACTGACTATCAACATCCAATGTTATTTCTCAACACCCTAGCAGTAATCGTACTAGTTATTGCCAAGTTCCCTCATATGCACAAGGTACGCATCTTCGGGATCAACGCAGACAAGTGAAGGTCTCACATGAAGAGATTTTCGGTTTGACTTGCCCAAAACGCTTCTGGTTCGTCTCTCAACCTGGTAAAACGTTATACCTTTGTATAGTAGTTGGGACAGGAAGGATACTGAAAAATTCGTAGTTTTCTTTTTTTGTACCGACTGCTCGCTCCCTCCGCTTGTTGCTCAATGAATTTAAGTAAATCCAATTATCTTTTCTACAGTGGAGAAATGTTGATGCATTTGAGTTTCACTGTTGTTATTATAAAGTAATTTTTAGGACTACACACTTGAATGGTTCTTGGGTTGGTTCTTCTGCACACAAGAACTCCACCTGCTGGGGACTCACATTCTTACTCTGTTCTTATACATCTCTCATAAATATGAACCTTGATTTTCAGCTCTCATTTCTATTGTGTTTATAACAAGTGATCAAACCCAAAGGAGGAACCTAACAATTCAAATTCACTCTATTAAATTAGAAATGTATTTTGCGAGACGTCTAATTTTTCTTTAGTCATTAAAAAAAAAAAGGGAAAAAACTTATGTTATTATACGGTAAATATCTATGAGGTAACACGACTCTCCGCAATGGTATGATATTGTCCGCTTCGAGCATAATCTCTCATGACTTTACTTTAGGAACCAATGGAGAGAGTATTATTTGTTTATAAACTCATGATCATTCCCTAAATTAGTTGATGTGAGACTTTCATCATCTAACAACTTCTCGAGGCTCGACTCTTTTGGAGTCTTAGTCATTTTTTTACTGCCTTCAGGAGGCTTGACTCCTTTTCTTTTAGAGTCCTTTGTTCGATATTTGAGAATTTAACAATCTATTGGCACGATTAAGGTTAGGACATGGCTCTGATAATATGTTAGACGAACATGATATCCACTTTGAGTATAAGCTCTCGGCTATGTTTTGGGCTTCTAAAAAAACCTCACACCAAAGGAGAGAGTATTATTTGTTTATGGAGAGAGTATTATTTGTTTATAAACCTTATCATCGTCCCTGTTATTTTTTAAAGTTGGAAGAATATTACTAAAAAAATTTAAAAGTTAAAATGCTTTTTTTTTTTTTGAGAAACAGTTGAAAATTCAGCGTTAAAAAAAAAAAAAAAGACTTATATATATATATTTTCAGTTTATTATTGAAATAAGACTCATAATTTTTGGGTGGTTTTTTTAATTAAAAAAAAGAGTTTGCCCTAATTTGCTCATCGTGAATCTGTGCCTTTCCCCAACTCTCTCTCGAAATCAATCTTCATCTCTCATTGCTTAATACAATCCACTGGACCACCGCCCTCACGGCGTCGCACAACGTCAATTCCGGCCGCTTTCGATTCTTTTGCTTATCTCCCTTGGACTGGTAGGATTGAAGTTTTTGTTAGTTTTCCGATTCTTCCATTTTTCCATTTCTAGTTTCTGCTGTCGCCCCCTTCCTCGATTTCTTCGATTTACATTATGACATCTACATTTTCCTACTTTTCTTGGTTATAATTTATGTGCTGTGTTTAGTTTATGTTATGAATTAAGTTTTGTTTAATTTTTTGTTTTTTAGTCGTAGAATTGGACTTGGGTTGATTAAGTAAAATCTGGAAATTGGGTTAAATGTTAAAAATCTGTAATCAAATCAAAACTGAAGAATGTGCTTGAATTCTATGCTGTGAGTGAGGCAAACACTGGCGAAGAAACTCAGGATTGCCTTTCCATCCTCTGTTCAGTAGCATTGCTTTTCCGGCATTACCGTCGTTTGGTACCTTTTTCTTCCTAGTAATATTATTAAATGAACATTCTTCACTTTGCTTCCATGATCACCCTCCCAATGCTTAGACTTATTTGGAATAATCAAGGGCTTTTCTTTGGAATTTTTAGTTGGGAAGGAACAATAGAGTTCTTCCGGGAGCATATTGGTTTCTTATGGCTCTACTTTGGTGCAGATTATCCAACCCTTTTTCATACTATATAGGTTATCTTCTCTTTGATCCAGTTCGAAAGTTTTCTTGTAAATCTATTCTTTTAGCCAGGCTGAGGCTGAGGCTTTCCTATCCTTCATTTTGCACATTTCATACTTTCAGTGAATCATTTTCTTATGCAAAACAAGTAATTTGAACCTTTATTCTTTTTGGTTTTGGTTTGAAGCGTATCAGATTTGAGTTAGAGGCAATCAACAGACAGCTATGGCAGAAGAGGCAAAAGACCCTTTCAAGGGAGTCGATTGGAAAGCCGTGGGTGGCGATATGCAGAAAGATCCCAGCTCTATAAACATTTTAAAGAAAAGGCGTCCAACAAAAGTTAGGCAAATTCCAGAGTATTATTTTCTTCCTAGAAGATCCCTTCCCTCGGTCCTTGCATTCTATGGGGCGTGTATTGCAGGTGGAATTGGAGCTGGGATGCTGGTGGAGATATGGATTAAGGATAAAGTTAAAAGTAAGCTTTGAATTTGCTTTTAATAGTCTTACTTCATAATCCTAGCAATACCATTAACCTTATCCATAATTCATAGCTTTTTTATTTCCTCTGTTTTTCTTTTAGTTAAATTATCGATAGGTTTCTCAAACTTCCTTTAGAAGTGTCCGATACGATAGATATTTAAACTTTCAATCTTGTGTCCAATAGAACCTACTCGACATAAAATTGAAACTTTAAAATCATTCGTGCTTTTTAAAATTTATGATCCTACATGACATGAAATTGAAATTTTAAAGTCTTCATTCAAATTGATCAATTAGTTTATTAAATTTTCAAATATGTTAGGGACATATAAGAAACTAAATGGAAAATTCAAGAACCTACTCGATATTTCTAAAATTAAGGGACCTATTAGATACACTTTTTTATGTAAAAAAATGTCTTGAACACAAAATTGATAGTTCAATGACAAAATCTATGACTTAACATTTTCTTTTTGATGTGTATAAGAAATAGACAGTGTGATTGACTATTGAAGTTTCTTTTTCGATGTGTTCTTGCAGAGGATGGAGGTGTGGTCTGGGAGTTTGACAAGTAGAGTACAGAAGTATGAAGTTGTAATAAGATCATCCAGTTCTGGGTTTTTGTTTTGTTGTCAATTCTTAGTTTTGGCACATATAAAGGAAAACATCTTTTATTGTCACTGTGAAGTTGTACAAAAATTGGAAGCAATAACCAGTAAGTTTTTCGAAGTTATGACTCCAATTCAGCTATTGGTTGTTTCTGTAGTTATAGATCAAGCACAAATGACAATAAATGCAATCATTTTTGGTATAAAGTTTATACAGATTGTTGCTTTGCTCTGGTAAAGCTGGGTTTTGGTGGATATCATGTGCTAGTAATCTTATCATGTTTCCCTGCCTAGCAACAGTTTTTTCTTCTTCTTATCAATAATATTCTCCCCACATCCCCTCAAAGATATCTCTTAATTAATTGAGTTATGCTTAAGTTTACCATCTCTTGTAAAGTCTCCGTTAGATAATTGACTAATATGAGGGATGAAAGGTTCAGAAATCTTAACAGGATCGAAGATGGATGCAAGACCTGAATAAGAATTTAGACCCAATTACTGCATTCTTGACTTTGGAGAAATGGAGAAGCCAGGCTTCTGCTCTTTGCTACAATCGCTCGTATGGCTGGATGAAATACCAATGTATGTTGAAGAATCACATTCAAAATAAAAAAAGAAGTTTACTCAAATTGGCACATAGATGAGGAGTAATCTAAAGTACGATAAGCTAGAGCCTGTGTTAGAAGTTCGAAAGTGACACATTTGAGTCTCTGTTAGCATATTTTCATATATTTTAAGTTATACTCAATAAGTGTGCGAAAAGTCGGGTCGTTACAATAAGTGTAAAGAAAACGATTGTGATTGTTGGCACTATCTCTACAACGTAGTTGTCGGCTGATGTGGGGTGACAATGCAATTAGAGAGAAGCAATGGTGCTAGCAAGGCCGGTGCGTGACGATCGACTATCGACAACGACAATAAGCTGTAACCGATGGTGTGCGAAAATGCAAGAAGAAGAAGAACAATAGGAGGTTGGCAGAAGAAGAAAAATTTAACTTGCTAACCGAGTACTCGAGAAAAAAAAAAAAAAAAATACATGAACTAATTTGTCATTTAACTTAAATTAAATTATATAGATGGAATATACCATAAATTAATTTATTAACTATCTCGAAAAATAAAAATAAATAAATAAAACATATAATTACCGAGAAATTAATTATTGAAATGTTACCCAAAAAAAGAGAAAAATTATGGAGAGTTGATATTGTGGTTACAGTTGCATCTTATACTTGAATGGAAAAAAAAACTGAGATTCGCGCAAAGGAAGAAGCTTGAATGCATAACTTGCTAATTCAACTGTCCCAGTGATGAGCTTCCGTCGCCGATCACTGTAACCCCTCCATTTATTCCGATCAGGCCCAATTCCATGGCGGGAACGGCCTCGGAGATCGATCCTATCTATCGTCTCCCTCTCCCTCTTTTAGGATCCGAGCCGATCCCTTCCGCCCCGAATAGATTCGCTGGTTCCTCCATCGACTGGATTCCAGATTTTGCTGGCTATGCATGGGTCGCTTATGGAGCCTCATCCGTTTTGGTGATTTCTCACTTCCCTTCTCCTCTGTCTCCCCAAGAAACCACAATTGGACCCATATTTCGCCAGGTACTGGAGCTCTCTGGCGACGACTTATCTGTTGTCAATGCCGTATCTTGGTCTCCCGTATTACCGTCGGAGGGCGAGCTCGCTGCAGCTGTGGGCAACCGGATATGGGTGTTTTCTCATGATTTGGGTGCTTCTCGAGGTACGCGACAGTTTACAGTTATTATGATTTCATTACTGTATGTTCGTGGGAAAATGGGCGAAGGAACTGATTGGGAAGTGACATATTGGATTTAGTGCCAATTAGTTCAGCGTGTCTTTACTAGGATAGTTATGAAGTTAATTTCCACTTGGTTTCGCCAACAATGTGGGAAATTGAGGTAATGGTGATGAATACATGTGTTCTAACGAACTTTGGTGAGGAAATAGTTGGGTTCGCTCATTTAAGAGCGAGGCTGATAACATTGAATCGTTTCCGTTCAATTTTGGACACCTTTAAATTATATTGGTTTACTCATATTCAGGTTCTTTTTGTTGGAGGCAGAATTCCGTGCTTCTGCAATCTTTGAAGGTTGAGGCCATTCAGTGGACGGCTGCAGGAGATGGAATTATTGCTGGTGGAGTAGAGGTTGTTTTGTGGAAGAACACTAACAGGTCCTGGGAAATTGCTTGGAAGTTCAAACCGGATGTACCCCAAACTCTTGTTTCCGCAAGCTGGTCTACCGAGGGACCATTTGCAACGGCATCTCAAGCAAGGATATCGAAGATGGATAACACGTTTATTGATAAAGCTTGCCGATCTGTGCTGGTCTGTCAGAGTGAAGGGGAGTACGGACATGTGAAAAGCGAGTTATGCCATCCTCTACCTATAACTATGATTCAATGGAGGACTTCAATTAAAGAGAAAGGAAGTTCCAAGAATACACCAAGACATGTGCTTCTGACATGCTGCTTGGATGGAACTGTGAGATTGTGGAGTGAGACTGAAAATGGAAAAGTAAAAAAATTTAGTAAGGATGTAAATAGTAAAAAGTCATTGAGAAGGCGTTTTTCTGTTGCTGCTGTCATTGAGGTAAATCAGGCATTGAATGGAACTCTTGGCACGGATTTATTTGTAACATGGGCAACCGAGATTAGAGGTATGTGCAAACCTTTTGAATTAACTAAGAAAGTTTTCTCCGAAGGATTCGAACACAACAGGGCTGGAAGCTGTGAGTGGCTAATAAGTTTAGGTCCGGGATCATTGGTTACTTTTTGGGCTGTACATTGTCTTGATGACGTATCCCCATTAAGATTCCCTCGAGTCACATTGTGGAAGAAGCAAGAGCTCAAAGGACTTGAAGTTGGACGGCATTACATTGATGGTTGTACAAACTTGAGTAACAAGTTTCTCCTCAAGAAAGTTGTAATCTCAAGGATTTATCCGTCTGGTTCCCCAAGTATGTGTTCTTTGATTCAGTTGTTGCCTTGTAATTCCTTGGTGTGGTCAATTTTATCTTCTCAGACATCAACTGACGTAGGGGATGTATCCTTTGACAAAAAAAGGTCAGACAATTTCTTCTCTCGTTCAGTTACTACCCAATTGAATTTAAGTGGTCATGCTGGAAAAATCTTACACGTTGCTGTACATCCATACAACTGTGAGGTCAAAGTAGCTGCTTCTTTGGACTCTAATGGCTTGCTTCTTTTCTGGTCACTATCTAGTATCTCCACCTGTGTATTAGGCCCTCCAACACTTAATCATACCTGGGAACTTTGTGGAAAACTCGTAACTCAAGATTCATGCTCAAAATATACAAGTGTGCAGTGGGCACCATCAATATTGGATGAAGAACTGATTCTTCTGATGGGACATGCGAGAGGAATTGATTTTTTTGCTGTTAGGATTAGCCAAAGTGATGGAGAAAATACTGAATGTCACTACTTATGTACCATACCTTTCACTGGTCATGGTCCTTTTGAGAATGGTCCAACTGATATATTTTCTATTTCTTTGCCTTCTGATTGTAATACAACATATAGATTCAATAAATTTATGTTAATAGGGCTATGGATGGAAGGATTTCAGGCACTATCATGGGAAATCACCTTACATACTTATGATATCTTTGGGACTGGAGTACATTGCAATTGTGGTATTGATGATGAAAATATAGCTGAGCTCAGTATATTGACATTTGAAAGTTCTTTTGGAAGCAAAAAGTATTGTGTTAGTATAATCCCTTGCTCATCACAGTTCCCAAATTCTCAAATTCATGAGCAGATTACAAGTTTTGCCGTGGTGCACCAAGGAACTTTTGTTCCTGTGCAGCAAAAATTAACTTCTTCAGGTGAACCATATACCCCTGCATATATTATGGCTACTGGCTCTGCTGATGGAAGTTTGAAACTTTGGAGAAGCAATGTAGGCAAACCATCGATCTTTCACGTGTCTTGGGAGCTTGTTTGTGTTGTTGTCACTCATCAAGGCCCCATTACTGCATTGTGTTTGACCGATTGTGGACGGAAAATTGCAACAATTAGCAAGAACAGCCATAAACCTAATATCAGCAACGTTCGCTTATGGGAGCTTGCATGCCTTGGTGCAGGGACCCTTTTGTTTGAAGATGAACTGTCCTTTGAAAGCAGTATCATTGCAGTAGACTGGTTAACTTTAGGAAATGGTCAATTTTTACTTGGAATTTGTTTGCAAAATGAATTGCGTGTGTACTCCCTGAAGCATTTTGGTCAGACCTTGTCAGGCATCACAAAATCTTTGGATACTGAGACTTGGATCTGCATTGGGTTTGCTCGTACTTTACCATCTAATTGTGGCTTCCTCTGGGGGCCGAAGAGCACAGCAATAGTTATACATGATCATTACTTTTGTATAGTTAGTCCATGGCTGTTCCTTGGGGATAAAAACCATGATGCTATGTGCAGCCCTTATTACATTGGAGAAACTAAAAATCACCATGTCAATGGGACTGATGTCGCTGTTTTTGCTGATGAATGTTGCAGTATCAGAAAATTATCAGATGATAATTATGACAGCAAACGTAGACCAAGATCTCTCACAAACATTCATGCTGAAACCAATATTCTATCGAATAGTTCGTATCCACGGGGTGCACAGATGAAAAGTACAACTTCGCTTGGTCTTATAAGCATGCCTGATATAGCTGATAAACTGTGTGGATCACTGTCCTCTTTTCATCCTCATGCTCTCCTCGTTAATGCCTGATATAGCTGATAAACTGTGTGGATCACTGTCCTCTTTTCATCCTCATGCTCTCCTCGTTAATATATATTCAGGTGATTATATAAATTACTGCCTATCGGCAAGTTTGGTTGTTTTTTTTTTTAAGGATTTTCCCTTAAAAGCTTCCAACAATAATTCATTACGATCCATCTTATTATANTCAGACATCAACTGACGTAGGGGATGTATCCTTTGACAAAAAAAGGTCAGACAATTTCTTCTCTCGTTCAGTTACTACCCAATTGAATTTAAGTGGTCATGCTGGAAAAATCTTACACGTTGCTGTACATCCATACAACTGTGAGGTCAAAGTAGCTGCTTCTTTGGACTCTAATGGCTTGCTTCTTTTCTGGTCACTATCTAGTATCTCCACCTGTGTATTAGGCCCTCCAACACTTAATCATACCTGGGAACTTTGTGGAAAACTCGTAACTCAAGATTCATGCTCAAAATATACA